TAAGAAATATAAATATAAATACAAATATAAATATATACATACATATATATACATTTACGCATTCACTCGGTAACCTGATCAGTTGTGACAGTGCAACTATATCGATACTTAGTAGTATTTTCATTCATGCTCTCCAACAGGTAAAGGCATTATCACATCAGATGGTCCTCAGTGGAAGAAGCAGCGTACTTTGCTGAGTCATGCTTTTCGCGTAAGCATTCTGGAGGATACTATGACTGTGGCAAAGGAAGCGGTGGACCGTATGAGTGCTAAGGTGAGTCTTTATGGTATTTCCGCTAGGTAGTAAACCAAATCATTGGAATGTCTGAATGATTTTGTGCGCTTGTTGTCTTACATATATCTCAATACGATAGCACGAATATACACATTACTGTAAACACCCAGTTGCGTTTTGGGTTGTTTCTCATGTGCGTAAAGACTGCTTGGTTTCACCTGCTCTCTCTCCTGAAGATTACAACCATCAGAGTCACGTGTATGCATTCACGAATACAAAACTCTGTAAGACTATCACACTGCATTTAGAAATAGCATGTATTTGATAATACGTTTCATGTGATGTTATGTTGTCAGTAGCATTGTCTGTTATTTGCAAAGGTCGGCGGTAATGGGATTTGATGGAACCCCACATTGAGTTCTTTTGGCCCCCCTTTTTTTTTGGCGTGTGATACTTCTTATGCTGTATTGCGCTTCTTATACAGTATATATATTTATAAACTATTCACGTGCTATTCAGCTTGAGAAGATCAGAGGTACGGGTGTTCCCATTGAGATTGGCGAGGAATTTCGGCTACTCACGCTTGAAGTTATCGGCGAATTGGTTCTATCGCTTCCCGCAGGTGTGTTAAGTATATCAGGTGGACGGACTAAGTGAATTGAGTTAAAATATAACCTGTCGATCATTTCAGCTGTCTGAATGTCACTTCCAGTGAGTTACATCGCACATCGTGACGTTGCACGTTGCGAAGTGCATACAATTATAATTCGATGAGCTGTGTAATCTGGCTCTGTTCGATCCAGCATTATCCACGACTACCTGTCTATCCGAGAAATAACTGTGTAGCAGTGCTAGTGATAAGCGCCCGCGATAGTCTTCAATGTGTAGAATCCAGACTTTCTCAAACGTTGGTCCTACACTTTGCATTGGCTCACAACCATGCCATATCCGCGTAACCCCTGCAGACGAGTCCAATCGAGTGTTTCCTGATCTGTACTTACCCATCGTGACTGAGGCGAACAAGCGCATCTGGGATCCCACGCGCAAGTTCATGCCCACTCCCACGCAGTTCGCCTACCAGAAGACTGTCACTGGTCTGAACGACTACATGTGCGACCTCATCAGGAAACGCTGGGCTGAGAGACAGGCCAGAAAAACAACTGGTTCTACAAAAGTATGTCTCATTGTGACTAAATATTCTAATGTAAAGGACCTTTACGCCCTGTTGTGCTTGGATTTCACATTATTCACATACATCCGAGCCCATAAGTGCGCGTACACCTGCCCATGACAATTGTGACAAGAATGTGCGATCTCATTCTGGAATGACCATTGTATCCAAGCACGTCAGAGTCAGAAGTATTATATCATGGACCACCCAAAATATCACACCTACTGACCAAACCGACTCGCAAATTCATCTCGTAACTATGCAGAAAGTTCCAGATATCTTGGACCAAACACTGGCCACCATAGACCCAGCCGACTGGAGCGAAGCGACAGTACTGCAGCTACGGGACGAGTTCAAGAGCTTCGTTCTGGCGGGGCACGAAACTAGCGCGTCCATGCTCACATGGTGTCTGTATGAGTGCATAGAGAATGATGATGTGCGTGAGAGGCTGATAAACGAGAGTGTCGAGGTCTTTGGGCCGGGTAGGGCTGAGGAGGGAGATCAGTTCACAAGTGTTCCTCTACCAAGTGAGTTCTGTATGATATATGGAGGTGATAGTTTTTCAAGTTGGGGTTCTAAGGGAGGGGTTTGGCTCGGTATTTGTGTCCCGCTCAAACAGATGACCAAACTTGGCAGCCTAAAATCCGACTTTGTATGTCGGACGGTGTCAGCCGTGTGACGCTCAATCTGTAGATACCAACATCTCTGCTGCGTTCTCACGTGATCGCATGCTCCAACCCACAGCAAGAGATGACCTCAACAGACTTGGCTACACAGTCAATGCCCTGAAGGAGGCTCTGCGCAAATACACACCGGTACCCATCGTAGTACGCATGGCGAAGGAAAATGATGTCATAGATGGACAAAACATTCCCGCAGGCACAAGGATGTTTGTAAATATCAAGGTATGAGCATGTGTGTGAAGTAAGTGGTATACCTTGAGCGGGATTCTATTGGTGTGTTCATGGATTTCACAGATACAACGATCATGACTTGTAGATTCCTCGTGGGAGCTTGAGCTTACATCTTTTTTGTGTTCCCCACTCGTTTCCACCAATCGGCAGGCTATCCACGACGACCCGGCCATCTGGGAGAGTCCGGATACGTTTAACCCTGATCGATTTGCTGAAAAATTCGATCCGTATGCGTTCTTGCCTTTCATCAACGGTCCGCGTAATTGTCTCGGTCAACACTTGGCTCTTTTAGAGGTGAGTGTATGGGTGTTCTGTTCAGTGTATCGTAGTACCAAAGCGAAGTCGGGTAGAGAATCAAGCAGGGATAGGCGAGGCGATATTATTCGTAAAGCTGAATTTTATCTCTTGTTGCGTCCACTACGCGATCTTTGTATGCGCTAACAGTCGCCGAAGAAATTCAGAGTTCGATTAATGACAGTAAGATCGGATAATATCCGGGGCGTTTTGGATTATTCCGAAATGTTCTAGTCCCGAGGGGAACTTTCCCAAAGTTAATATTTTCAACCTAGTTATCGACCCATAAAGTCCTTTTACTGGGTCAGATACGTATTTCTTGAACAAGTGCTTCTTGGGTCTCATTTACTTTTGGAATTGTTCAAAAGTCCCCGAAGATAATATATGTTAGAAAAATAATTCGGCCCAGAAGATTTCAGTACAAGCTAGGTGCAATGTACAATATGTTTTCAATTTTCAAGTAGGTCTTCATTCTCAAACTGATGTTTATATATA